TATATATATATATATATATATATATATATATATATATATATATATATATATATATATATATATATATATATATATATATATATATATATATATATATATATATATATATATATATATTCTGTCTCGTGCCTTCACTAGTTGTCGAGCCAATATATATATATATATATATATATATATATATATATATATATATATATATATATATATATATATATAAAATACATGTATGCCTAACTAACCTCTTCTAAATTAGGAGGATTATTGACTTTCCTCATAATACATATATGATAATAAATACAATATATATTCCACTAATATACAATATATAGTCTGCTAATATTCCCCCTCAGTGTGAGAGGGATGTGGAACGAACACTCAAACTGTCGCGGAAGTCCTGAAACAGATGTCTTGAAAGTCTTTTGGTAAAATTATCAGCATACTGATGCGCAGATGGCACATGAAGAACTCGAATGTGACCCAACCGAACCTTCTCACGGACGAAGTGAATATCAATCTCCACATGTTTTGTTCGTTGGTGTTGCACGGGATTACTTGATAAGTAGACTGCGGATACATTATCACAAGATACTATCGTGGCTCGCCGTAGAGGAACGTGAAGATCAAGTAAAAGGTTCTGGAGCCAACTTGTTTCAGCGATGGCGTTTGCAACACCTCGATATTCAGCCTCGGCGCTGGATCTAGAAATTGTGGGTTGTCGTTTTGACGACTAAGAGATAATATTATTACCGAGATAAACACAACCTGAAGTTGACCGCCTTGAGTCGGGACAACCCCCCCAATCAGCATCGGAGTAGGCTGTAAACAAAGTGTTGGGGGTGCTATGAAGTCGTAAGCCGAAGTCAATAGTCCCTTGTATATATCGGAGTATCCTCTTCATGAAAGCCAGGTGTGGTTCTCGAGGAGCATGCATAAATAAGCAAACCTGTTGTAAAGCATAGGAGATGTCGGGACGTGTGAAAGTTAAGTACTGCAGGGCTCCAGCCAAGCTCCTATAAATGCTACTGTCTGAAAGGAGTGCGCCATCAGTTGCACTAAGCTTAGAGGACGTATCCACTGGGGTAGTGCACGGTTTACATGAGGTCATGTTAGCTCGATGCAAAATGTCTTTGGCATACTGTGACTGAGACAAAAACATACCGGTTGAGTCTGTAGTGACAGTAATGCCAAGGAAATGGTGAAGGGAGCCCATATCTGTCATGGCAAACTCTCGAGATAAGGTTTGTATGATGCTGTGAAGAAGCTTTGTAGATGAAGCGGTAAGCACGATATCATCGACATATAAAAGTAAATAAGCAAGTTTATCCCCGTGGTGATAAACAAATAGGGAGCTATCACAACTGCTTCCTTTAAAACCATGTGATGTAATAAACATCGAAAAACGAGTGAACCATGATCGAGGTGCCTGCTTAAGACCGTACAAAGATTTTCGCAATCGGCATACATGTTGTGGTTTAGTGTTGTCTACGAAACCCGGTGGCTGATGCTTGTAGACTGTTTCTTCCAAATGTCCATGGAGAAACGCGTTTTTAACGTCTAACTGATTAAGCGGCCAATTTTTTTGTAAGAGCTAAAGATAAAACGGTGCGGACGGTTGCTGGTTTAACAACCGGGCTAAAAGTCTCAATGCAATCAATTCCTATTGTTTGAGACTTCCCGTTTACAACCAAACGAGCTTTGTACCTGTTAAGACTTCCATCAGACTTAAACTTGTGGCGAAATAGCCACATGCACCTTATAACTGGATGAGATGTCGGTCTAGGTACCAACTCCCAAGTGCTATTATCCATTAATGCTTTATATTCATTAATCATGGCACGTTGCCAATTAGGGTCGGCTAAAGCTTTGATGTAAGAGGTGGGCAATGGAGAGATATAAGAGGAGTGAAATGCATAGCAAGGATTAGGCTTAGAGACTCCGACCTTACCCCTGGTAGTCATCGGGTGTGTGTTACAAAGGGCAGTGGAAGCGGATGGAATAGTAAGAGATGTAGGAGAGGGCGACTGAGCAGGGGAGGTGGGAATTGAGGGCTGGTCATTGGGAGTTGGATCAAGGATAGTGGGTACGGTAGATTGGGTAGCCAGGGGTGTTGGTGTAGAAGGTTGGTAGGCGGAGGAAGGAAATTGGAAATTGTGAAAATTGTTGGAATCATTGGATAGGAAATTGTAGTTTTGAGTCGGTATTGGTTGAGCAAAGGGGAAGGATGACTCGTCAAATTGAATGTGATGAGATATATAAACTTTCCCGGAAGTAGGGTCAAGACACCGGTAACCTCGAAACTCGGAGGGATATCCAAGAAAGACACAACATATGGACCGAGGGTGAAGTTTGAGAGGTTGTGAGGCGGACATGTTGGGATAACACGCACATCCGAACACCCGTGGATGATCATAGGTAGGGTGTTTCTGATATAATGAAAACGTAGGAGTAAGAAGCCTTAGGAGTTTGGTGGGAAAAATATTATGTAAATAGGCTACGGTGTGGAGAGCCTCAACCCAAAAACGGGGAGGTAAGTTGGCATGAGTGAGTAAGGCACAAATGATATCATTTAAGCGTCGAATCATCCGTTCGGCCCTGCCATTTTGGGGGGAGTTTGAGGACATGAGTATCGAAAAAGGAAACCATGAGAATGGGCAAAAGTATGGAATTCATGGTTGTCGAACTCACCCCCTAAATCACATTGAAAGGGTTTAATGGATTTGTGGAATTGTGTGTGGATAAGTTTGTGGAATTTAGCAAAAGTTGGAAAAGCTTCAGATTTAAATTTTAATGGATATACCCAAACGTAGTGTGAGAAATTATCAATAAGCACCATGTAATATTTATATGATGAGTTGCTTAGGATGGGTGACGTCCATAAGTCACAATGTATAATATTAAATGGTGAAGTTGTAAAAGAATGAGAAGCAACAAATGGTAAGCGTTTACTATTAGACAAATGGCAAGAATTGCAAAAAAACTTTGAAATATCTTTATTACATGGAATTAAAGAACGACTAAAAAGAGTGTCAAGGACTTGAGTGCCCGGATGTCCGAGACGATCATGCCACTTTATTGCTGAAGTTGTGAGACAAGCAAGCGTAGGTGAAGTGAACGGATAACGGTCACCGGTGCTTTCATGGCGCGAAAGGAACCTGCCAGTCTTGAGATCCTTCAAAGTAAAACCGTTAGGATCAAATTCAACGGAAACTGAATTGTCACGAGTAAATTTTCGCACCGAAAGCAGATTTTTAATTATGTGAGGGGCTAGAAGAATATTATTAAGGCAATAGGTGTGGTTTGGAGTAATGTGTAGGCCATTACCCGAGCGCGTAATCGACAACGTGTTCCCATTACCAACAAATAAATCACCATTAAAGGAAATAGAATTTGGTGTTAGTAACTTACCAGGGTCTGAAGTAATGTGGGAGGAGGCTCCAGTGTCCAAGTACCAAGATTGGTCTGGCTGATTCAACGTCACAGTGGAGAAGGCAGCACCAAGGTCAGTAGGATTGAGCGGGTCAACAGTCAGCCTTTGAGAGTATGTGGGTTGTGTTGGATAGGTTGGCGAGTAAGCCAAATTGGCCGAGTAACTGGGTTGCTGAGCAGAGTAGTGACCACGCTGTTGAGCCGAATACCCAAGTTGACTGGGGTGAGCTGTGGGTCTGTTTGGCCAAGAGGATGACCAGTTGAACTGAGTTGGATGTGGGCAAGGAGGTGATGATGGAGTCCAGGTCCAATTACCAGATGGTTGCAGTTGAGGACTCGATTGGTTGTACTGTTGTCGTCCACGCCCCCTACCACCACGATTATTGCGACCATGACCTCGTCCCTGCGAGGAGTATTGGCGACCACTTTGCTGCTCGAATCCCTGTGATTGGTGGTTGCTTGTGGTGTTGTACTGACCTGGAGATGGGTTTGTGTTTTGACCAACCTGCTGCATACCTGAATGAGTTGTTGTGAACGCCGATTGATTCAGATTCTGACGAGCAGAGACGCGTTGCTGTTCTAATTGAATCATTGAGCATGCATTGTCCCAAGAAGTGTTTTATTTATTTTGGATGATGGAGGCTACTGTGTCATATTCTTGAGGAAGACCTCGTACCATTTGTAGGACAAGATGTGATTCAGGCACGGTGTGATCCACACCATTCAACTAATCTGCCAGATCTTTGATTTTTTGTTGGTACTTGTCCATGGATGAACACGAAGTAAGTGTCAGGTTGATGAACCGGTGTTCGAGGGCTGTTGCACGTGAGCTTTTATTGTTGAGGAAAATATCTTGAATCCGGTTCCATGCTTGTTGCGCCCTAGTATCAGTGTCTAGAACTCTAGCCATTAATTCGTCAGATAACGATCCATAGATCCATTGAAGGACTATGGCGTCAATTTTCGACCACGACTCGTAAGTCGCATCCGTCTTCACCGGAGGAGTGCTTCCGTCAATGTGATTTAACACACCGTACCCACGTGCATGCAACTTGAACAATTTTACCCAAGACGAATATGTGACTTTCACACCATCTAAAGTTCTGATTTTGTTTTGAATGTTGGCAACAGAATAAACTGGGTGTAATGGCTTTGGATCATTGGCATTAGTAGTCATGGAGGCTGTTGAATCGGCAACTAGGGTTAGAAAGTTGGCTTTGATACCATAAAAGCCAATATTCTATCTCATGCCTTCACTGGTTGTCGAGACAATATATATAATACATGTATGCCTAACTAACCTCTTCTAAATTAGGAGGATTATTGACTTTCCTCATAATACATATATAATAATAAATACAATATATATTCCGCTAATATACACTATATAGTCTGCTAATAATATATATATATATATATATATATATATATATATATATATATATATATATATATTTGATGGAGTAGATGACAAGAAGGGTTTGACAAGGTCTCGTTCTTTCTCGATCAGCCATTTTATGTGAACCTCTATATTTTTTAAATTTAGCAACAACTAATAAACCTAAATTAGGCAACTTCTACCATTTTTGATAAACATATGGGAAGAAAATTAAGAACAAAATTACAGAGATTGAATGGAAGAAGTAAAGGGAATCCTGAGGCTAACAGTGAACAAAGGGACAAATCTAGCTGTTCGCGATAGGGCCAGTGGTACAAGTGATCCATACGTTGTTGCAACATTGGATCATCAGGTTAATTTTTTAAGAGCAAATAAATGAAAATTTTAAATCACGTTGATTTAGATTATTATTTATATGTGTAATTTTAATGCAGAAAACTAAGACCAAAGTGGTTAAGGACGATTGCAATCCTGTTTGGAATGATGTTTTAACACTAGCAATTAAGGATCCTAAGGAACCAATCAAACTTGTAAGATTTTATTATTTCTAATTTGGGTTTTTCTAACATTTAATAATAACCTAATGTTAATGAATGAAAGTATGTTGTTATGTTTCAGACAGTGTATGATAAAGACACATTTAGTGAAGATGATAACCTAGGGACAGCAAATGTAGATGTAAATCCATATCTTGAGTGCCTTGAAATGCGTACAGATTTAAATGATCTTGCTATTGGTACTAAACTTGAGACAGTTGAACCAGATGAACATAATCATCTAGCAGAAGAGAGCTTTATTGTATGGAATAAAGATTCAATCACACAAGATATGATTCTACGATTGAGAAATGTGGAAACCGGTGAAATTGAGGTGCAAATAGAGATCACTCCTGTGAAGGATCCACATTTAATCGTTTAGGGTTTTATGTAGATTTTGAACTTGTAAGTGTATAAATTAAGTTTGTAAGTATGGAGTATATATTTAGTCAAATCAAACATAATTTTTTTTCCATATCGTTTAATACTGCATTTTTTTAAATTTCAAACTATTTAGAGTCTTGCTTTTTCTTTCCATTTGGGTCCAAAAATAGTTAAAAAGGCAAATATATATATCTTTTCATTCCCATTTGTTCCCCTTCCTTTTCTTCAAACAAAACTCGAGGAATTCTTTTCACTTCTTTCTCTAAAAAACTGAACGAACACACATTTCTTTTCCTCTCCTTATTAAATAAACTCAAGAACCGGGAGTTCTTTGTCTATAGTTGTTTATTATTTTGTGTGCGATTTGTTTTCCCGTATTATTTTTTATTGTAATCGTTATTGCAACAGGTGTGTTGCTCTCTTCCTCAGAGTCGATTTGCTCCAATAGACCACACTTGGACAAAAAAGTCTCAGTCGTCAATTTGCTCCCACCAGCATTGTTGTTTCGAGAAATTAACATTTTATTTCTATTCGTTACCATATCAAATGAATTTGATGAGAAATAGATTAAAATATTATTAATTCTTTTAAATGTGTTATTTGTGTTATTAAATATGACAAATGTGACAAATGATATGGTAAAAAGATGAATAAAATAAAATGTAGAAGAATATTTACATTTTATTCTCTTGTTTATGAATATTTATTCTCTTGTTTATGTGACTTTCACACCCACCAAACCTTAAACCCCAATTTAAATATAGTGGTTTGGGGTGTTTGAGATAGTTTTTTGAACTCTAAAAAAAATTGCTTATTTGCTTATAGTGGTGGTAAAATGAGTTTTTTAAAAAGTGTTTGGATAAACTTTTATAGTGAAAAAGCCGATAAGTCAATAACTTAAAAAGTGATTTTTAAAGTTATTTTAGTTGAAAAGCCAAGTTTTACATTCTTATTAAAAAATGCTTTTTGAAGCTTATCGAAAAGCTATTCTGAAACGTGCTTATGAGTTTGCCATTTTTTTTTTGATTTATTAGCTTTTCAAAAAGTCAGTAAGCCAATAAGCTCTTTTGAAAACCAATCCCAAATACTCTGGTTGTTATTTTTTAAAAGGTATCTATTATGACACTTCCTTAAACATCTCTAAAATCCTTCAATATCTTAATAAAAACATATACCATATTTAGAAGGTGTTTGTGATTACTTTTCAAACTTATTGGACTTTTGACTTTTTCAAAAAGCCAAAAGTTTAAAAAGAGGTTTGACAATTCCAAAAGTCATTTTTAAACTAACTTATTGAACTCTAAGTTTCATTGTGAGTCATGTTCTATCAATAAAAGTCATAAAATTCCATTTAAATACACCTCATTTGTGACTACAAAACCTTTGTAATTCATATGTACAGATGTTTGGGGACCAACACAAAAGTCTGTTGATGGTTTCGAATATTACCTAATATTTAGCTTTTACATTAAATGTGTGGCTCTATCCCATGTGTCATATATCAAACGTATCTATAATATTTCCTCGCCTCAAAATCTTAGTTGGGCACTATTTTCAAACACCTCTCATATCCATCTTCTCGGATAATATCATTGCCGAAAGATGAGGGGGGGGGGGGATACCAAGCCCTTATTCCTATTTTCCAATTTCTTGGTATCTTTCACTTCACCACACCGACTCACACACTCCGAATAGAATAGCATTGCCGAAAGATGTCACTGATATGTACTGGAAACAGGACTACCCTCCTACACTACGCCGATCTACCTTTACGTTTCTGGTCACATGCGTTTCAAATGACAGCTTACTTAACTAACCAATTACCCACACCCATCCTCAACTACAAAGCCCCTTATGAAAAGTTGTATCAACAACCACCAAACTTAAACCGTTCGGTTGCCTTTGTTATTCGTGGCTCAAACCCTATTCCCCATTTAAACTTCATCTAAAATCTTCCCGATGTGTCTTTCTTTGCTACTTCACCTCTAAGTCCGCCTACAAATGTTTGAACATTGTAACCAAACACCTTTATTATTCCCTTCACGTTCAATTTGTGACTCACATCTTCCTTTGTGTGACCCACATGTCACTACCAACACACCCATTAAAATTAATGATCTTTCCTCCGCAAAAATATATCATTCACCCACTATCCACACCCCTTACACAACCTCTACTACAATTCCCGTCCAAAACACCACTATCCCTACAACATCTATTACATAACCTATTACCAACCCATCTCCTCCCTTAACCACCCCCTTCATTTCCATACATATCTGTCGCATCAACTCACACCGCCACCCCACCACCTTAAATCCCATACAATAATTATGATCACCCCTACTACACCAACGTATGTCACTCCCTCATCACCCCAACCTCTCATACATTCCCTATCATCAAGCCATCACCTCTCAACCTAACTCCACCTCTTCCCCAACAAACCCGAAAACCCAACTCGAAATATTATGGCGAAAACTATATCAACCACACCACTATTCATCCCCTCATGAATGACTTATCAAACATTTATGAATTGCAATAGACGATGGACAAATATATAATAAGCTTGAGTTGATCTTGGTCTAGTAGCAAGATTTTTAGCTTTAACAATATTTTCTCCCCCTTTTGACACCAACAACTAAGGTCGAGCAGAATAGAGTTTTATCTCATAGTCTAGTAAGATTGCGATGTCTCCTGATAGCGTGGGCTTAAGCTTCCATTCACTGAAATAATATTCCGAGATCTCATCAGCATGTGGTTTCATACACTGAATCATAAATCTCTTTTATTAGAAGAAAAAAGGAGAAGAGTGGATAGGTGCGTCTAATATATCACAGACAATGATATACCCATCGGCACAGATTGTCAAACTTTCATCAGTGTGTAGAATATCGTAGTGAATTGTTAAGTTTTATTAGGAAGATAAAGGAGAGAATGGCTTGTTTTAGTCACGCTGAAGTGAAATCAGCGTGAATCATTAACAAATTAACACATCAACAAGAAGTGGTTTAAGCTTCCGTATCATAGAGTAAGTTGCAATCTAGAATAAAAGATTCACCGTTAATTCATATTTGTTCCATGTCATACCTCAAAATAGGAGGTTAGGGACATGAACAACCCTTTGTCATTTAAGAACATGACAAGTATCTCTTACATTGATGATTATGCCATCAGGGTAAACCATTAGGTTTTTGCTTAATGTTTCAGTAGAACATGAGACTTAATTCATACAACATGCATGCTTCTAGGGACAAGGTCATGTGAGAGATGATTAACCATGAAAATAAACACCCAATCCTTAAGATAAAAATTTTAATTAGGACCATACAATCTCACAATAATACTTTAGACAATGCTAGATAGTCAACGTGAGTGGGTGACTCAATGTTCTAAGTAGATGGTCTCGCTGATGAGAAACTTACAAAGATTTATTCACATATAGTAGCATGCTTTTAGGGACGATGATGTGTCAAAATTTGCAAACTAGGCTTAGAATTGCCACAATCAAAATTTTTTTTTAAATGGTAAAAAAAAACAATATAAGAATATAAAAAGAGTTAGTCAAACAAGAAAATAGTTTAAACAACGAAATATGTGCAACTTTTTCAGAAAGGTGATAAAGACTCATTCCATCAAATCTTTGGAATTGAATGGTAATTAATGCACTTCCATTTTTCAAGATATCTACCACTTGAAATTTCAGCTATATAAGAAAACAAATGATATTAACGATATCACACAAAAATGGCACAATATATCACAAGTGATGTAGCCTTTTATTATTGAAGTGTTACAGAAGGATTCCAAGCTTCATGTTCACCAGGAGCAAGAGAATAAGTGAAGATTAGTCTTTGTAACCAATAAGTTAACTTGCTCTAATCCATAAAACCATCATATCTTCAAGATAAACATGAGGGCATTCAAGGTTTTACAGGATCATGAGTCAGTAGATGAAAACTAGACTTATTGCATTAATGGTTGCTCTTTGCATCCATAACAGTGAGTGAAGGAGAAAGAAGGTTTTGTTAAGAAGAAAAGGACATGATGCCACTCTTTTTCTTACCAAAAAAAGCATTGTGATCTTTCCATAAAGCTCTAGTCCTTACAAATTATGAAGCAATAATATGCAGATAAATCTTAGATAGGACTGTAAATAGTAAATGTAAGATGTTGCATTAATAAAAGAAGCACTTGTTTTTGAGTTTTTCATAAGACATAAAACAATTAGAAAATAATTAAGACATTGAAAGCATTCCAAGATTTGTAATTAATTTGTTCAAACTCTTTTCGTACAATGCCTTGGTGAAGATGTCAGCTAGCCGATCAGTGGATGGAATATAGAGCAATTCCACATTTCCCTTTTGAACTATGTCCCTGATGAAATGATGATGGATGTCGATGTACTTGGTATTTGAATGTTGCACTAGATTTTGTATCATTTGAATGGAATTGGTGTTGTCGTAGCTGATGGGTGTCTTCGAGAAGTTTAGACCATAATCCAAGAGCTGATTCTGAATCCATAGAATTTGAGCACAACACCTTCCAGCGGCAACATATTTAGCCTCAGCGGTAGAACAAACCACTGATGTCTGCTTTTTGTTGGACCAGCTTACCAATCAATTTCCAAGCATTTGAGCTCCACCTAAAGTGCTTTTATGATCAATGCCACACCTACCATGATCGGAGGTAGTGTATCCCGCCAACTTGAACTGAGAGTCACGAGGATACCATAACCTACGATTGGGTGTATGCTTTAAATACCGTAAAATCCTTTTGACAGCGTGAAGATGAGATTCCTTAGGACTGGCTTGATAGCAAGCACATAATATGATGTCAAACATAATGTCAAGGCGACTGGTTGTAAGATAGAGTAGAAAGCCTATCATTCCTCGAAATATAGTTGCATTCACATTAGTGCCACTTGGATCGGTGCCAATAGAAGTTGATGAAGACATCAAAGTCTTTCCCGGTTTGCAATCAGAGAAACCATACCTCTTCAACATATCTGCAATATATTTAGCTTGACAAACAAAAATACCATCAATTAG